TTGAGCCCTTGCTCCGGATCTCAGCTCCGGCCGAGGTTCCGCCGGGAGAGGCCCCGGTACCGCGCTCCCAGCGGCGGGAGCGCAGGGCTGACGCCGCCCGGACCCGGCTCCTCCCGCCGCGGCTGGGAAGCGCGCAGGGCGGGGAAGGCTCTGCTCGGCTCACGCAGAGGTGCACAGCGCTGCGGGGTCCCTGCGCCGGACCCCCGTGCACTTCCACTTGGACGCTTAGGCGGTACCCTGTGTATCTTCGCTGCTGCTTAAAGGAGTACTTTCAATCTTTTTTAATGATTCGTTGTATAATTTTTTAAAAATATTTTTATTGATTTTTAGAGAAAGAGGAGAGAGAGGGGGAGGGAGAATGATGCGGGGCTGCCTCCTCTATGCACCCACCAAGGCCCTGCCGGGGAATCCACCCGTGACCTTTCAGGGCGTACGAGGATCGATGCACCTACTGAGCCACACTGGCCAGGGCAGCACTTTCAATCTTTTCAAGTTCGGGGCAGCTTGGCCAAGTAAATTGAATACAAATTCAGGATATTTACTTTCTATCTATATTTTTAGGCTACAAATAAGTGTTCCTTGCTTAGCTTCTTGAATACTTGGCAACAATTTAAGTAGATTACTAGGTACTATTGATCAGAGATGAAAATGTCTTTGAAGACCGTATCACCATCCAGAGCATCATCATATTAAAGGTCATTTCTGTTTGTTGGGATCTCAAATTACCATTCTCAAATCCAGGGCTAAGAGAACTATTCATGATTGTTGGACTCAACCCTGAAAGATTTTACACCTTGAATAGAATATGCAAATATTCTACCCTTGTAATAGTTAAAAACACTTAAGTCCAGATACCTTTATAATTGATGTGTTTTTCAAATACTGAATTGTTTACTTACTCCTTCTGCCTAGGTACCTATGTTGACTAGTTGAGACAAATATAAATATGGCCTTCTACTGTTATAATAAAGTCTTAGTTATTGCCCGAACAAGGTAAGCCTTGGAATTTTTCTCCTACCCCCAATATTTATGTGAACTTTATTCTTCTAGATGGAAAAGATAAGTGTAAAAAGATAGGCTTAGTACACAATTAAAGCTTTGTTGGTTTTAACTGTTTAAACCTTTGGATTGACACCAAAGTTTTAGGACGCTGAAATCTTAATGTATTTAAGCTTATCCCAAATTTTCAATATGCTTTGGAACTCAGGCTGAGTAATTTTGTAGATGTGTAGTACAGGTAAGATAGATGATGTGAAGGTTTTAGAATGTCATTGATGAATGTTACATGAAGCCCTTACATATAAAAAGGAGTCAAGTGGCTGGCAAACAAGCCAGTCCTAGGGCCTATACCTTCCCAGCAAGGTCTGTTATCATTTATTTATTACAAAGAATATTTACCAAGAACTTAACTATGTGCAGGATACATTGTACATCTTCCCTTTTAGCCATTCAAAAAGTGTTTTATCTTGGCATGCTTCAAAAACAAAGAATGGAAAAAGCCATCTCTTTGCCAAAAGAAGTCTCTTTGCCAGGAACTTTCTTTGCCTAGATAATCTTATTTTTATTTTCAAACAATCTGATGTGCTAGTTTAACTGAAGATTGTGAGCTGTTGCAAAAGTAGAATGTAGAAGATCACTGGCTGGGATGCCTAGTTCTAGTTCTTACTCCTAAGGTTCTTTAGGAATCTTAGGTGAAGGGCATTTCGGCTGTAAGTGCCTCTCACTTGAGGGAATCCATGGTCACTACATAGACAAGGCAATCTTATGTGATTAGTTAACCCCCAAAGGGACATTGAAGTGCTTCATTCAAATAATATTCCTACTGTCAGTACAGTAGGCGAAGGCAGAAGTCTTCCACCTGTTTTCTGGTTGTAGATAGAGACAGAACTTTCAGACATAACCCCTGGTGAGAAAATATTTGCTGTTAGATTTTTAAATGAATAGTTGCAGAGTTCCTAACTTCTAATATAGCAATTATTCTTAGGCATAAGCCTATTACTATTTCTTAGAGTGTATTATTCAATCATAAAGCTTACTGTTCTTCAACTGGGATAAAAAGTTATATTTCATTTACTAATGAACATCATCCACTTTAAAATACAGGCTTTAAAACTATTGTTTATTTTAACCAGATACAGTATCTATTTCTTTAACTTTTAAGTTTGCAATCATTTGTACTCAACTCAGAGGACGTTGCTCTTTATTCCAGATTCCCTATCCATTTTGTCCATCCTACCTGCTCTTCTTATCTCCCATCACTTGCATTTCTTCACTTGCCAGATTCCCATTTAAATAAAACATATATGAAGAACTATGGAAGCAAGAAGTACCCCTATCCTAGTCAGTCAGGCAATAAAGTACTTCACTTACGAACTAGGATAATACAAAAGGTACACACATCAAGTTGCTGGCTGCAAGAAGTCCCTGGTAAACCTCAGCTGGAGCAACCCTCCACAAAGCCACAGGTGACAAGCCCTCAGCCCACGAAAGAAAATGGTATGAAGACTAAGGAAGAAAAGCGATCTTACAGACAAAGAATTATGGGTGAACTTAAATATTATTACAGTGGATTCCATTTGCTTTGGATTGACACCAAAGTTGCTGCCAGAATGAGTTGGAGGCTGTTGCATGGACAGGTGCTGACCAGACGAGAGAGACGACGGGTAGGCAAGAATCATATTTAGGAAAGAAAATGTAAAGTTAAAATGAACTATTTAGGAACCAAGCTTTAAACTCAACCTAAAACTCATTTTAACAAATCCCAAAGTAGAAATAGCAAATGATGGTGAGAATGAGAATTTCTTATTGAGTTTCTTGTCTGCAACTGACTTGCTGTACAACTTTAGGCAAAATTCTGAAAATTTGTATATATTTGCCTATGGAATGGTTATAATTGTGTTTTCTAATCTCTCCAAGGAGCTGCAGGTTTGATCTGTGCATCTGAAGTACAGAGTGTTGTTAATATATTAAGTGTACACATTAAAAGCCAATTTTAACAGATACTATGTTATTCAACAGACCCCTAAGTTAGATGAAAGCTACGAGATACCGATAATATGTTTTGATTGTCATAGATTTCCTTGAGGCTACCCCATACATATTACTTCAGAGCTGTGATAAAGAGGAAAATTCCACCTTTCCCTTTTATAAACAGCTGCAAAAAATGTCTTGTGTTCTCAACACTCTAAGAGCCAAACAAGCTTTTTAGTTTGGGGGGGGTTGCTTATTTGTTTGTTGGTTTGGCGCATCCTAAACTAATAGATGTTGCATGTGCTGTTCAATCCCTTAGCTATTGAGGACGTGCGTTGATTTATTCCGCTTGGTTCCATTTGTGGTGTTCATAATTGTACCCTTCATGGAACTCTTATTGCCAGTGTTTCTGAAACTCTTCCCAGAGATGTTGCCATCAACTTTTGAGCGTGATTCCAAAATGGTATGTAGGAGTTTTTAACTTTTAAAAAACAAATAGACTTCAATTTTTAGAGAAGTTTTTAGGTTTTCAGAAAAATTGAACAGTGAGTACACAGAATCCTCGGGTACCTCCTCCCCCCTTTCCACCATTATTAACATCTTACATTAGTATGGTACATTTGTTGCAATTGAAGAACCAATATATATACATTATTATTAATTAAAGCTTATACTCTACATTAGGGTTCTCCCTTTGTGTCGTATAGTTTTATTGGTTTTGACAAATGCACGCCATCTATCCACCATCACAGTGTCCTATTGCCCTAAAAATCCCGTGGTTCACATGTTTGTCCCTCTTCCCCCTATCCTTCAACCTGAGGCAACTGCTGATCTTTTTACTGTCTCTATAGTTTTGTCTTTTCTAGAATGTCATATAGTTGGAACCATATAATATGTAGTTTTTTCATACTGGCGCCTTTCCCATAGCAATATGTTTCCTCAGTGTCTTTTCATGCCTCATTTCTTTCTATCACAGCATCATATTTCATTGTATGGATGTACCACAATTTACTCATTCACCTATTGAAGGACATCTTGGTAGCTTCCAATTTTTGGCAATTATGAATAAAGCTGCTAAAAATACCCATGTGCAGGTTTTTGCGTAGATATAAGCTTTCAACTCATTTGGGTAAATACCTAGGAGAGCAATTGCTGGATTGTATATAGTAAGACTATGTTTAGTTATGTAAGAAATCGATAAACTGTCTTCCAAAGTAGCTGTATGATTTGTGTTCCCACCAGCAACGAACAAGATGAGAGTTTCTGTTGCTCTATATCTTCATCAACATTCGGTGGTGTAGTGCTTTGAGTATTAGCCATTCTAATAGGTGTGCAGTGGTATCTCATTGTTATTTTAATTTATAATTTTTCAATGACATTTGATATTGAGCATCTTTCCATGTGCTTATTTGCCATCTATATACCTTCTTTGGGGAGGTGTCTGTTCAGATCTTTTGCCCACTTATTAATGGGGTTGTTCATTTTCTTATTGTTGGGATTTAAGAGTACTTCATATATTTTTGGATGCAAGTTCTTTATCAGGTATGTGTTTTGCAAATGTTTTTCTTCCAGACTGTGGCTTGTCTTTTCCTTCTCTTAACTGTGTCTTTTGCTGAACAAATGTTTTACATTTAAATGAAGTACAACCTGATTTTTTCTCTCTTGGATCATGCTTTTGGTGTTGTATCTAAAAACTTGCCAAATCCAAGGTCACCTATAATTTTCTCCTCGGTGTTTTATAGTTTTGAGTTTTACACTGGAGTCTATGGTCCATGTTGAGTTATTGTTCTATTTTTTAGGAAAGTCCTAGAACACTTTCATGGCTTTGGTGGTGGGGAGGGGGAGGTCTGCCCAGAACCTCTTGGTCTGGTGAGCCACGTCCCCTTCACCGTCACGGGCGTCTGGCTGCCAGGGTGGCGCTGGCCAGGCGGGCCGCAGCCCTGTGCAGATCTGGGCAGTACCTGTCCTGGCAGCTCCTGTGCCCCGTGGCTGCCAGGATGGCGCTGGCCGGGTGGGCCGCAGCCCTGTGCAGATCTGGGCAGTACCTGTCCTGGCAGCTCCTGTGCCCCATGGCCTGGCCTTCGTACTGACGGCGGCCCGCACCTACGTTGCCAGCTTCCACTGGCGGCATCTCCACTTCAGCATGACCGCCACACCTTTGCCATCACCATCGGCTCCACACCCACTGTCTTACGGTGAATCAGCTGGCTGTTGAGCTATGGTGGAAGGAGTTGCGGGCCTTCGGATTATTGGGTTCGCTGCTGTAAGTCCGCTTGTTCTCTAGATCAGGAGGAAGCCGGAGCAGTAGCACCACCAGCCAGTGCAGGTGGGTAGACAGGGCCGCAGTTCCTCTTGGCTGGAGACAGAAAGAGCAAGAGAATTTTAAAGAAAGGTGTAACATCAGTGTCGAGAGTGTGTATGTATGTATGTATGTATGTATGTATGTATGTATGTATGTATTGGTTCCCTGACCCAGAATCGAACCTGCCACCTTTCAGTGCATGGGACAAAGTTTCATCCAAGTGAGCTACACCAGCCAGGGCAAGAGTAATTTTTTCCATGTGGATATCCAGTTTTTCCAGCACCATTTGTTGAAAAAACTACCCCCCCCATTGAACTTTAACTTATTTTTAACTGTTGAAAAGTAAAGCAAACATAACAACTTATTACAGTGACTACTTGAACAGCAGGCATGCTCCACTCAGTCAAGCAGACCCTTTAGGGCTTATGAGTAAGTATCTCTGAGAAGAGGGCGTCCCCATTTGATGATCACTGTGAAGGTGACGAGCTAGAATACCGAGACAGCCCCTCATTCTCTTTATTCTGTGCCTCTCTCCTAGACAATGGTATGAAGATATGAACACAATAGTATGAGGGGACAAAGAGGGCAACTTTTAGATCAGATTGGGAAATGTTTTACAGAAAAGGTAACTTTGGGAGCCCAGACTTAAAGAGCGGCAAAATTTTTTAACCCAGTGTTTGAAAGGCATTCTGGATAGAAAGAATAGCACTTAAAATGGCTTAATGGTATAAAAGAGTATGACATAACCAGAGACCACTGACTGATTCTTTATGGTTGGAACACATGGTAGATGCTCAATAAGAGGATGGATGGATGGATGGATGGATGGATGGATGGATGGATGGATATGGATATAGATGGATGAAATAAATGACTAAAAATTGTATTGACTAATGGTAATGACTAATCATGGTATTGCCATTGTGTGAGTTTTTTGGTTGAGTCTTTTAAGATCTTTCTAAAAACCAATGATTGCTATGATTGGGGTGATCATTAGAATCTCTTGGGAACTTAAAACATGTGTATATGTAACATACATATTCCTGTTTCTCTGTACCCCTGAGTCCTGACCATGGTTATTTTGAAAAGGCCACCACACTGCATTTCTGCTGGTGAACAAGGATTTAGAAGTAATGGTTAACATAGTATCTTAAGAATATACACTTAATTCTCCTTTGTATAGTGCTTTGTTCGTATCTGTTATAGCACTTAACTCATTGTATTATAATAAATTGTGTCTGTTTTACATTACTTAAACTATAAGCTATTTTAGCATAGAGTTAATTACCTAGTTTTCTTTGTTCATGGCCCAAGCAAAATCCAGGGCCACTCAGACTAAGGGTTTGTTCAACTAGCAGTCTAGATGGTTTGCACCAGGTTAAGAAATTATCTCATTTATAAATAACTCAGACAACCCAAATGCCCATCAATAGACAAGTGGATATAAAAGCTGTAGTACATATATACAATGGAATATTACTCAGCCATAAAAAAGAATGCAATCTTATTTACTATTGAGACAGCTTGGATGGACCTAAAAGGTATTATGCTAAGTAAAATAAGTCAGTCAGAGAAAGACAAATATCATATGATTTCACTTACATGTGGAATCTAAAGAACAAAATAAATGGTCAAACAAAACAGAAATAGACTCAAACGTACAGAGAACACTTGTATTGCTAGTTGCCAGAGGGGAAAGGGTTGAGGGCTGGGTGTAAAGGGTGAAGGGATTAAGAAGTACTCATTGGTAGTTACAAAATAGTCATGGGGATGTAAAGTACAGCATAGGGAACATAGTCAATAATATTGTCTGCCGCGAACCAGCCGCGGCGAGCAGGACTGTGCTCCGGAGGTGAAGAAGAAAAGAAAGAGACGAGACAATGGGGCTGGGAGGGCTCTCTCCCTCAGGGATGCTGAGTGAGAGTCAAGCAAAGTTTATTCAGGGCCACAGCATATTATACAGCGTTTCAGGGCATCCGGCCAACCTTCTGACCTTCTACGACATTCCTAGATACAACACTTTAGAGGAGGTTGCAGCCACACTGGCGTCTCAGAGGACTGTTTCCCAGATAAGGTAGGGGAGTATCTGGTCTAATTGGGTCTGGGAACTATGCGGGGCTGAGCACACAGGGCAGCAGACATGTAGGCACTCCCTGATTTACAGGGGGCCTCGGCACTGACGCGCCTGGCTGATCTCTTTCAAGAACACCAGTGCGCCGCGGTCCGCTGCCCCGGGGCCCAGGACCCCACAATTGTCATAACTATGTGTGGTGCCAGGTGGGTACTTGAAATATTAGGGAAACCGTGTAAAGTACATGATTGTCTAACCACTATACTGTACACCTGAAACTAATACAAAACAGTGTTGAATATAAACTGTAATTGAAAAATAAAATTTAAAAAAAGGAAATAGTATCTCATTCTAAATAATGACAAAGCCTACCACTGAGGGGATATTTTGGATTTATCCAATATTTATGATCATTGTATTAGCGATAAATAAAAGGTAAGATTAGGGAGACAGGTTGCAAATAGAGGCTACTTTTTATTTGCTCTGGTTCTCATGGAACCCACTCAGTCAGGTCTGAAAATAATATTAACGCACGAGACAGGGATGGGCGAGAATAAGGTAACAGTTATTTTTCCTGCATCTTCATCTACTAAGTCATAATCATAAAGGGTTGGTTAACTGTTCCTTTTCTATTGTTAAGGAAGAAAAACAGAAAAAGAAAATGGTTGTCAAGTTGGAACTAGCAAAATTTCTTCAAGAAACAATTACAGAAATGGCAAAGAGGAACAAAGCCACGCTGGAAGAGGCCTCTAAACAGTTCTCGTCCTATGTCAAACAGGTGTCAGTCTTGGATATAACACCAAGCAACTTCTGGGCTGGGAGCTTTATGAAAAATGCATGTCATCATGGATCGTCTAAATTGTTTACAGTCTCTGAATTTGCAAATCTAAGTTGTATAGATACGATATTGCAAATGTTTATTTGCAGAAATGTCTGTCTTAAAGCAGCCAATGTGCTGAAGACGATGATAACTTCTTGGGAAGAACAGTAGAATTAGCCAACCGTTTGTTTGAATGATTCCTGATTTTTTTATTTGATTTAGGCCGACTTCAGATTCCTTTACCCCTCCTTGTACCAGATGCCCCATTTCCAGACCTAAGGTAGAAGCCATAAGTGCTTTGACGTGTCTTTCAAATAGTCTATTAGGAAAGTTAAATTGAGTAGGAAACACATTTTAATTGCTTAATTGGGTCCTTTTGTTCCATTGCCTAGGTCCAGACAGGCCACAAGCCTAGTACAAAGGAGATAGTTCGCTTTTCCAAACTATTTGAGGATGAGCTAACCCTGGAGCACTTAGGTCGACCTCAGCTGGTTGCCCTTTGCAAACTGCTAGAACTGCCATCTTTTGGAACCAACAATTTGCTTCGCTTTCAGCTCCTGATGAAACTGAAGTCTATAAAAGCAGATGATAAAGTGAGAGCTTAACTGTATCTGTAGGGTACTAGCAAGGCATTGGGAGATATCTTAGGGTGGCTTTGTGATACAATGCAGTATCTTCTGTTAGGTCTGCTCATGGACCGGTTCTAGGAAAATGAGTGGTTTTAACAGCCATTACCATGACAACCTGAACCTTGATTACTCATTTTAAGAGTTATTGTACTCTGACCCATTTTCTTGAGAAGGCCACTGTAGTTTGGATGTCTTAGCTGGGATAAATGTGAAGCAGTTAGGACTCACTGGGAAAGAACAGCAGCTCAGTAGATTCCTGAGTCTTCTGCCAAGGACAGGACTCTACCCCCAACACCTCTGCTCCTGTCCCAAAGAGCTGGTGCCAAAGCAAATATTCTCCTGGGTGAGCTGGCATGGTAAGAAGGAGTGGCACAATGTAATGCAGGGAGGGAAAACAGCGCCTAGGCACCTGTGGGAGAAAGGCACCATTTGGACTATACCTACTAATTAGACTCCTTTAAAAAATGGAAAACATCTTTCTTGAATCTGAATCAGATGCTTTAAAACATTCTGTCTGAGAGAGCAGGATTCTCAGAACTGAGATGCATGATCCCATCGGCCCCATTTAGATTTCAGTTGTTGTTTTCAGAACTTTGGAATAAACAATACTGGTCCCAGGAGCATCATAGTTTTGGGTCACACCAAGCAAAAACTCTGTTATTTATTGAGAGAGTTTGTGGACCAGAGAGAGCCATTCCTGGGGTGTTGGCGGGGAATAGGGGAAAAAGAGCACCACTGGGACATGCAACAGGTGGTACAGAGAAAGCTTTTCAAGTGAAATATTTTTTAAATGAATCAGAAAGCTGCCATGAAAGAGGAGAGCAGGAACCTCGCAAGCAGGCAAATGCAAATCAAGAGGGAAAATAATTACTTTTGTGACAGAGTATTAAGAAGTTATCTTAATATCTCTGACCTTAAAATCCTCTTGGCAGGATTCCCTTCATCTAAACTGCCACACCTTCCTAAGTCACCTTGTTTTTATAGATGGCTGGCCTTTGCAGCAGTCAGTGCTGGGGACAAAGGGTTGGAAGCACCAGATCCTGTGTTTCCTCTGATTAGTTGGAATTTAGGGATTAGGTAAAATTGGAACCAAAAGAGCCAATACCATTCCTACATTTCTTTCAGATAATTGCCAAAGAAGGGGTGGGTGCTTTGAGTGTGTCAGAACTACAAGCTGCCTGTAGGGCCCGAGGGATGAGATCACTGGGTCTCACTGAAGAACAACTGAGACAACAGCTCACAGAGGCAAGTAACAGCTTTCCTGGGCCCCTTTCACTAGCTTTCCTACAATTTGCAGACCTCATTTTGCAATTTCTACTTTGCAAGCAAACTATCTTACCTAATTTGCTTTATTTTATTGAGCAGTGGGATACCAAAGCAGCTAGATTTTTTTTTACTGAGACAAGGTATTGTATTAGTTTTCTATTGCTACATAACAGATGATCACATGTTTAGTGGCTTAAAACCACGCCCATTTATTAGCTCATGGTCCTGTAGGTCAGAGGTGCAGGCTGTGCTCCTTCCTGGAGGCTGTGGAGGGAGACTCCACTTCCAAGTTCATTCAGTTTGTTGGCTGAATTTAGTTCCTTGCAGCTGCAGGACTGAGGTCCTTGATCCCTTACTGGCTGTCAGCCCTGGGCTAGTCAGTCCTGGAGGCCACCAGCATTCCTTACCTCTGGTCGCCTCCATCTGCAAAGAACTTCTCACATGCCAACCTCCCACATGCTTTAAATCTTGGGACTTTCCTTGTTTTTGAGACCTAGCTCCAGATTTAAAGGTCTCATGTGATTAGGTGAGACCTTCCTGGATAATCTTCCCATTTTGACATTGACTGACTTGGGACTTTAATTATATCTATAGAATCCCTTCATAGCAGCACCTAGATTATTGTTTGATTGAATAACTGGGAGAAGGTGTGGGTTCATGAGGGACTGGGAATTTGGAGTCCACCTTAGAATTTTGCCTAATCCAGGTATTGTAAGGGCTTAGGCAAACTCTCTAATACAAGGCCTGTCATCCGTGTGTCTCCATCTGCAGGTATGGCCTTGCCAGTGGCCCACCTGGACTGCTTTCCCAATTAGTGCCCCAAACCAATGTAAAGTGTTAGCTTTGGTATCCGATGTTTAATATTTTCCCTTAGATAACATATTTTAACTAAATTTAATGCTTTTTTCCCCTTCAAATTATAAGAGAAAGTGTTTTTAGAAAGTTACAGAGGTAGTAGAAGTGAGCCAGCTGGGCTGTGTAGGCTCAGGAAACAAGTCAGAGGCAGAAGAAGGGCCCTTGGAGCTTAGATGAGACAAAGGTAAAGGTAACACGGCTAGGGGAAGGAGAAGGGGAAGGGAAAGGCACAGGCGTGCTACCAAGAGGCAGAGTGCACCTAAATTTAGTGCTTTAAAACGAAGTAACTCCTATTAAAATTCTCATTCCTATAACTGTGAAAAGTACTATAAAGTGTACACAAATTATTTTGGGACAGGAGCCATTGCTGTGACTTTGGAACCATGTCAGGTAGCTTTCCTCTTCCATGCTGGACCTGCTCTGATTGGCAGATGGACATATTGTAGAGCAGTGCTAAAATAATTTGTTTCTGGAACAGAGAGCATTACTTGGGTTCAGCTGTCAAGTTTCTTTCTTGCAAGGGGGTATCATTTTACAACCCCACTACAAGGGAGTGAGGATACTGATCCAACCACGTGATACGCAGCACTATGTACTATTATTCAAAAAAATCCTGAATTAGGATATGGGAAGACACTTCCTAGAAAGGAAAATAAAATTCGTAAACATGAAACATCTTAACTTCATAATAAGATAAAGCTATGAGATACCACATTTGCCTATTATATTGGCAAAGATCAGAGTTTGATAATATACCATGTTGGTGAGTGGGTGGGGAGGGGGCACTTATACATTGCTGGTAAAAATTTCTGTGGAGGTTTGGCAGTATCTTTCAAAATTTTTAAATGTATTTACTTTGACCTAGCAATTTCACTTCTAGGAATTTATCCTATGTTCTTGCATATGTGCAAAATGTCGTATCAAACGATGATCCATGGCGGCATTGTTTGTAAAAGGATAAGAAACTGCTTAAAATGCATTAATAGGAGTATAATCAAATAAATCATGGCATTTCCATACAGTGGAATCCTTTAAGATGTTTAAAAAGGAGGCAGCTCTATGTCTACTGATATGAATCAATCTGCAGGATGAAATAGTTCAGTGAAAAAAAGCAAGGACAAAAGTATATTAACTTACCCCTTGTGTAAAGATTAAAAAAAAAATCTTTTGTATTTGCATAGGATATCTCTGGAAGGTTATATAAGGAACTGGTACCAGTGATTGCTTCTAGGGAGGGAAACAGGGTAGCAAGAGAAGAAGGGTAGAAGGCAGGCCTATTTTGCTTGATTTCATTCGATCTTTTGAATTTTGTCTTGCACATATATTATTGATGTAGAAAAATACATGTGTTTTGAAGCTTGGCCAATTTGGTACTTGAAAACTTACATCTCATTCTCATTTTAATGTTTGTTTCTCTGGTTTTGAATGAGGCTGTTTTATTCTTTAACATCTACTTTGTGTCCAAGAGAAGATAACGTAGCTTCTTTGATCCACAATTGGTTTGAGAGTTCCCACTGGAGGGGGAGGTGCCGTACAGCCACTTTCTGCAGAAGCCGGCCGAACGTTCTTAGCCTCATTCAACCAAGAGTTATCAGCCTGTGCCTGGGAAGCTGTCAAGCCTGGGAAGCAGTAGACGACGGGTCACATCCAGTGCTAACACTCTGTGATTCTACCATGTTTTATTTCCCTCCCATTCTCCAGTGGCAGGACCTCCACCTGAAGGAGAATGTCCCCCCTTCTCTTTTGCTCCTGTCACGAACCTTCTACCTGATAGATGTGAAGCCAAAGCCAGTTAAGATCCCACTAAGTGGAGAGGTGAGTAACTGGGCTCACGGGCCTCTCCCCAAATGTCTTATTTTCTATTGCAGTCAGAGTAGGCATTTCTTTTGGTATATCTTTTGGAATTTGGCCTTAGAATCTTTTTTAAATTCCAAAAAAATATTAAAATCACTGCAACTACCTCTAGCGATAGGGCTGTCACTGCCTTTAATCCCCGGCTTGATTTAGGTGTTTTACCAATAGGAGTCCAGTTTATTCTTCCTCCTTAACTATCTAGTCTTCAGGCTGTTCCCACCACTTTCCCCTCTGAGACTGAATTGTTCCTGTTATATTATGTTTGTTTTATTTGTCCAGATTCCTATTAATTTTCAAGCAGTGAATGGCCAATCTAGCATGTAAACTTTTTGTCTTCCTACAACTCATTTTCTTTTTTTAAAATCAGGATATTTTTGCCATTGCTTTTCAGAGAGTGGAAGGGGGTGGAGAGAGAGAGAAACATCTATATGAGAGAGACACAGCGATTGGTTGCCTCAAAGAGACACCCCGACTGGGGCCAGGGATCGAGCCTGCAACTGAGGTACACGCCTTTGGCTGGAACCGAACCCAGGACCCTTCAGTCTGAGAGCTGGTGCTCTAACCATTGAGCCAAACCAGCCAGGGCTATAACTCACTTTTTTTCTTTTTTAAAAAAAACAAACACATATCTTTATTGATTTCAGAGAGAGGAAAGGAGGGGGAGAGAGATAGAAACATCAATAATGAAAGAGTCATTGATCAGCTGCCTCCTGCACCCTGGGCATGTGCCCTGACGGGGAATCGAACCCCGACCTCCTGGATCCTAGGTCGATGCTCAACTGCTGAGCCACATCCGGCCGGGCATACAACTCATTTTCTTAATCACTTTTCCTTCATGTTGCCTTTGACTCAGCAGCCTTTTTTCTCCTGGTATTTTCCTGACGAGCCCAGTATTGGCCCAATCACCAAAGCCTCTTGCTCCGGGTCCATGAGGAATGGCCTCTCCCCTTTACCTTGCGTTTTCCTGTCTAACTCAGAACCTGCATGGGTGCGAAAGGAAAAGACCTACAGAGAGTGCAGCACATGTGGTTTAGTAGATTAGACAAAATACTCTAGAGTATTTTTAATCTTAGTTATACTGTTGACTCCTTGGACAAGCCGAGGAAAATTATATGAAGTCCAGCATGAAAAATGCACTTCAGGAGACCCCATCTTGCTTTCCCTCTGCATAGTTCAGAGACTAATCTGGATTTGGGCTTTGCCCAGGAAGGATTCTAGGGAGACTAGCTAAGAGCAATTTTGGAGGACAGACTATGCTCTAAAAGGCAGGCTATTGGGCTCTTACTCTATCTTTGGTCTTCACAATATACCAGAGTTACCTGCCATCCTTAGACTGCTGTCAGGAGCAAGGAAATCTTGCAATAGCACAGTATCTCAGAGCTAAATTTGGGTTCTCAGATTTACTGTGGATGGGCAGAAACTCTTTATCTGGAATGGTTGAGAAAGACCTAGGAATTAAGGACAAAATGACAAATTCCTAGGCATTGTATTGGTTGCTTTTTAAAAAAAATCCACATTTTAAAACGTCTATTCTCCATATATACAAAATGAGAACAAGAAGCATGTTAGGTTCTGTAAAAATTTAGAGACATCAAATTGAATATTCTATAATTTTGGATATATGTAGCCCTTTTCCCCCAAAGAACACAAAGGAAGTACTTATTTCCAAAAAGCAGTGATATATTTATTTTTCAAATCTAATTAATATAATTCTTAAAGACAGGTTAGATAGCTATTCTAAAATGCCACCCTCTCCCTCCATTTTCCTTGTTGCCGGAGATTCTATTAAGCAGCACCTACCATTTAAATAACTTTTATCATTTATTAGAAACTAACAATGATAAAGATGTCAATTTTCACTAAGTTATATCAATGCCATTAGAAATAGATAATTGGAGAAATGGCAACTTTTTTTGGAGACTAGAATACCACTAGAATTGGCAAACCAATTCTAGCTTGTTAATGACTGAGGATTTTAAATTCTAGAATCTAAGTGTGCTCAAAGCTGCAAGGTAAATAATACTAAGTTGCTATTTCAGGGACTTATTTCATGTTACTCATAAAGGGTATATAGTTGGAGGAAGTTAGGGACTTGGTGGAAAGCGAATTGTGCTAGAAAGCACTGACTACTTACTGTAGTAGCTCTTCTGAGTTTCTGGAAAAGCAAAAAGCTTATGCTTACATAAAATATTTCTCTGCCTAGGCTCCAAAGATGGATATTCCTGTGGAATCACCTACTTTTCCTGAGTCTAAAGAGAATTTGGTGAACTTGGCCCCTCAACTGAAGGGAACCAAGGTTATGCCATTACTTTTCATATGGTTAATTAGGTTAAAAATTAATATGTTAATTTCTCTATTTTTAACCCCCTTAATGAAACTGAACTTCAGTGGTGTTTTTTAATAAGGAATGCGTATTGTATCATTTGCTCTGTTTCTAAGTTCAACATTTGGCTGTAATTAGGTTCCAGATTTTGCCTCTTGAGTCCTGTGACAGGATGTATAGTAGTTGTTACAGGTTCCTGGTAGTCATGGCGATAGGACTGTAGATCTCATACACATTGTTTTAAAATCAGTAACCCAACTCTCAGTTCTGATGTTTAAGGATGAAAAATTTATGCAACTGCCTCCAGTTCCATCATCACCCGTAACACCTTCAACACCTATTTCATTACCTAAAGAATCCATCACTTCTGCTAAAGAAGCTGTAAGTATTACCTTAAAAACAAACAAACCCCTTTCCCTCTAGTTTTAAGGGCAGTGAGAATCTAGAATCGTAACTATGGTAAAACACTACACAGTTCTTCCTGTCATCCAAACAGGAAGCTGTAGGCTGCATTTTAGTCATAACCACTACATTTTTTTAACCTCAATTATCCAAAAGTGAAAAAAAAAAAAATCAACCAATGCAATTGGGGATCCGACCTAAACATGTTAAGCCTAGAAGCTAATTACAATATAGGCAGATTCTTATTTTCCTTTGTGCCAGATGGAAATAGTTCCCATATGTTGTGTATTTCACAGGATTCATGTCAGGAAATACTAGCAGGAAAGCAATTTAAATCTTAGGAGAAATGCTTGTAAATAAGAAATTACTTATCTATTTTTTTCCCATTTGGATAAAGGAATTTGGGGCAAGGGCAAAAAGCGTAACACAAACAGTAGAGGGGTCATGGGAGAGTTGAACTGTGTAGTGAGGGCCTCTACTGGCTCCTGAGGACCAAAGAGCACCGGTGAACACATAGATGGGGTAAACTGCACCCAGAGGCCTGGTTTGCATGTCTTTATTTTTATTACCAAGGTAAATTATAAACTCAGATTTGACTTTGTGGTCTGTCATTATTTTGATTAAGAAAACCAAAAAGCGACTCCTAAAGAGCTTACACATCTAATTGTGACCAGGGCTTAACATCCTTATGTTTTGTACCTAGACGCTCCAGGCCAAATCACAAGAGAAAACCCAGAACAGCAAGGCTAGTTCCAAAGGAGCGTAAGGACTACTGGAGGATGACGCTCACTCTCTCCAGCTTCCTGCCCACGGCAGTGGCATTCATAAAAGACCTCCCAGCTAAGACTGTGTCTGCTTTGAGTAGAGGATCAGGGGCAGTCCTTCGAGGCCTTGTAAACATTCCAGATGATGTCAGCAGTGAGACCAAGTTCAGACCATTTAGAAAACTATAATTGCAAAGCCCATTTCCTCTGTGCCATTATGTCATCCCACTAAACTTTGTGTAAAGCACACACCCCCTCCCGCCCCCCGCCCCATGTTGTTTTTAACAGCTTCATATTTGTGCCCACGTCCTTTAAGGGAGGAAATTTTTTGCATAATGGAATCAGCTTTTAGCCCTTAGATACCTTGGCCTCCTTATGGCTTGGTAACCTGAGTAAGAACCTGGAAACTCCAAAAACCATTTTAAGAGCACCTGACCAACTTTTTCAGTGACCCATCAATAGGAATTGTGCCCTGGAAACAAAGTACCTTATGAGATGGAATGGATATTCCCCAGTAAGGTCTTTCTGGATATAAAGCAAAAAGTTCTTGGAGAATAAAATGGGGAGTTAGACTGGCAATCAAAAAGGTTTGGCTGCTGCTCGGCTGTTCTGAGACTTCCCCTCTGGGCCTGCAGGAATCTGGGAGGCTGCCACAATTCTAGCACATATGGCTTTCATTAGCCACCATTTTGCTAGGAAGCATAATTAAGGGTTTAAAACTTAACCATTTGTTTGTGCTGGGTGTGTGTTTTTCTGGTCTGTTTTGTCTTTCACAAACAAGACTATTTGTTAGTCATAGGGGTTGTTAAAGTCTGATATAATCCCCACGCTACCCAGTAACAAATATTATGTTCAGATATTTGTTTGGTGTTTTCTGAATTGCCAATACTGAAAAAAACAACATAATAGATTGCTGTGCAACTAACCAACCACCTTTTCCCCTTGGGGAACGCTTAGGAGGAAAAAGGTACCTCGACCTGTGGGTGACGAAATTAGATTTCTTTACTTGCTGTGAAATTCAAAGCAGTTGGATGGGAATCAGTCAAACCAAGTAAAATACAAATATCCTTGTCTGGGATCACCTACATGAGGACTGTCATCAGCATTTCATAGCAAGGATGTGTGCTTTTTATAAGCTTCCTAAACCTCCTCTCCACCAGAGGACAAGCCCTACCTTGTCCTGCTAATGAACTCGGGTTACTTGAGAATAATGATTCCCTACTATGCAGCATTCCATGGATCTCACCATAGGCCCAGCAAGGTGATTCATAAATTTCCCCACTTTTAAAATGATGGGTGTTTATTTTAATTGATTCTCATTTCAAATGTTGACTGTGGGAAAGGGATTAGCTACGTAACTTGTTGAATCCTGTTCAAGCTGAGTGATTCATCTATACTGTTGGGCTACAATCTTTTTGGCTTTCCCTATGAGCAAAGTGGGCATGGACAGGTCAAGGGGCCCCTGGCTACTTTTGGCCCCCATTGGCCTTCACCCATTTTTGCTTCATAAACTGGCATCTAAGACACATGATACACCTCTTCCCATTCTTATGCTAGTAGCTCAGAAAAGTTCCCGATTGTTAGCTCTAGCCCCAGGCTGAAACCAAGTTAGTGGTGTTCTGGTAAATGATTAACGACCAACTCTGGCAGAGGGGGCTGGGGCTCATTTGTAGCATTTGCAGATTCCAGCGATGTAAATACTCCCACGCAGCTGATTTCAAGCCACCAACAGGTCACTGAACAAGTTGGGAAAAGATGTCACAATTGGCTCAAGAACCTGTCCCAGCACAGTACTGACTCCAGCGCCTACTGGAGTAACAAGAGACAATTAAACCTCTAGTTGTCATGTTCATTAAATGCACTACTTTTGTGCACCAGAAGTATAAATGCTTCTAAATACTGTTACTTGCCAAGCCGAGAGAGAACTTGCCCGAGACTGAGTCTTCCTGAACATTTGGGTCTTGCTGACTTTCCCTCTCCCTGGCTCTCATCAGCTGAAGGAATGGGAGGCTGTGCCAGGCTGCTACAGGGCTCTCCTTTCTGTTTCCTACTTTTCCACACAGATACATATACCTCAGTGTATCAGCTGCTAATAATCTCACTGAGTATACTTGTAGGCACTTTCTGAAACCCAACCAGACTTGTGATGTCAGACCTGGCCTGTATCTTAGACACTGAGAATTCTGTTCCAATAGAGGTGTTGGTGCCACTCGACATTCATAGCCCTGCACTTGGGCTAATTCTGTACTTCAATCATTACAAGTCGTATTGGTGATATCAAGTAAGTGCTCTGTAATGCTAAAACCTAAGCTAAAGATCTCCCAGTCACCACCAGTATACGCCTAATGGAACTTCAAAGCAGATTGGCACGTAACCTAACAATGACTGAGATTCTGGCCTGCTGGCTCCTCCAAGTGGCTGCTGATAAACACAGCGACTTCACTGTCTGAGATAGATTTCCTGTTTCATGAGGTTCCATCTTACTTACCTGAGATCAATACATTACATTAGCAGTACCAAGGGACTGATGATCCCCAGTCTATGGCAATTAGAAAAGGCAGTATCGATTAATACTGTGGTAATCCCAGGCTCTAGTCTTTTAACCCTCAGGAAACCAGACAAATTCAGTGCCTTGACAGCACATCACCTTCATTAGATAAACTGGATTCCTTTTCTCAGGAGACCCAATCTGGTCATCTAAGTAAAATGGTCATTTCATTTTCTCTCAGGTCAATTTCACTATCTTTTATTAGACAGCCAGCTCAATCTCTGGGGAAATTCATGGGTGATTTGAGTAGTAACAGCAAGGACATCACTTGTAACAGTGCTTTATATTTCTCTAGCACCTCTCCCAAAGGCATATAAAGCCCTGCATAGATCCTCCATCCATTCCCACAACATTGGTTCAAGGGCCAAGGCAGAAATGATCATCACTATTTTACAAGGAAAGACACCACTATATGGTCTGAAAGCAAATGTTTTTAAGAGCTAAAATTCATTTCCTGGCTCTGTTCACCAAATTATGCCTTCATTAAACATAAACACAAACTGTAATATGTTGACAGTTGCATATTTACAGAGACACAAGAAGGGAACTGATTTACAATAGTAGCCAACACTGCAGCTGCCAGAAAAATAGCTAGCTCAGAAAGGAAACTTAAAGCAGCAATCCCATTTTCCCTACAGAAATGAAAGCATATTGAACTTTCTTTTGTATTCAGCCGTAATCCGGCAAAAAAGCAAGCTTTTGGTATAGAAGGTGCATAGAAGCAGGTTGAACACCTTGAGCCAGGACACACTGGGTGAGTGCAGTGATAGCCAGCAGGTGGCAGAGGAAGTAAATCTCCAAGCAGCCCAAAAACAAACATTTAGAGAATTTTTCCCCTTTCCTGAGGGATGGGGTGGAATTTGTACAGGAAGAACTAAAGGAAGCAAGATCTGTGATAGTCCCAACACATGCAGTTTGATCACATGGATACAGAAGACTGGTGTGGGGGAGGACAATGAACACAAAGCAGGCTGGGAAACATGAAGCAAGGGACCATAATGTAAACCTAGTCCTGGGTGACAAGTTTCTCCTTCCACAGCGGCACAGGCATGCTCTGGTCAGAATAATCCTTAGCTTTCCTCCACCTCTTTAGCTCTACCCCTTGGCTATTCCGAGGTAGGCCCTCAGCTCCCTCCTCTGACCCTCTGACCTACCCAATCCCACCAGTTTCCCCTGAGGAAACAATTTGTGGTTGAGGGCTGGGGGTGGAGTAGGGGGTGTCTTAGCTTTGGCCCAGCAACTCTGGTGCACTGACAGGACGTTCCTGCCCATTATGCAGATGTCTTTGTTTCCTAACTTTCCAAAAGCATCCAAGAGGTGGGAGGTATGTCCAGAGGTCTCAGTCCAGGACCTAAAGGGAAGAGGTTAGGAGGAAACTGCAGGGAATGGACAGACACAGACCAGGGGCCCATTATTCTTGCTCCCTTTCAGTTGACATTCTCTCCCTTGTCACACAGCCCATATAAAAATGAAGCAGCAGCAATTTTTATTTGTGGGACCTAAACTGAAAATAGGTTTAGAACATAATTTAAAAAAATAAAACAGCAAAAGTAGCAAAAAATATATGACCTTTTTAAAAACATTTTCCTTTTTTTTTTTTTTTCTTTTTTCTTTGTTTTTAATATATAGCAACTGATGTCTCCCAGCCACCAGGAGCATCTTACCCAATGGGTAAATCTCTGGTAACGACCCTTTTAAAAAGACATGTAAATATATACTCAGATTTATACACTTTGTGTTTTCTTCATAGCTATGTACAAAGCCCCCAGTTTGGGGCTGGGCCCCAGGGCCACGACACTGCTCCCAGCCTTTGCCTCCCTGTCCTCTGGTACCAGGTATTTGGTCAGCAAAGCAAATTAGTATCAGAATTAATAAGCCAATGGCACCATCTATCTGGAGCAGAGGTCGCCTTCAACGGAGGCCCAAAGTGGTGACCTCCCCCTCCCTACTACTGTAGCCTTGAGGACTTGGCACCTGCTACCAGAACACAAGGGTTTACGGGTTACTGTGAAGCAGACAAAACCAGCATAAGAAAACTCAGTCAGTTCTCACTTGCATGCCTGCTCAGCACGCTCACCTCCTGTTCCCTACCCCTCCAGGCAGTGACAGGTGGCGGAGAGGGGTCTTGGTCCACCATTTGGGAGGGAACGGAGTGGCCATCAGCAAGTACCTGCCTCTCTGCTCCTCTCTCTCATAAGCAAGTTGAGAGGAGGAAGAGAGATGAAATCAGTGGGGTGAAGGCCTCAGGTGGGCAGCTGGCTCCCGCCAGCAGGAAAGGGACAAGGGGAAGGCAGTGAATCCAGCGGGGAGTGGTGGGTGAGACTTAGAGCTGATGATGGAGTTCGGGGAGGGGCAGTGCTGGGGAGCTAGTCAGCGTCGTTTGAGTCCGCCATTGGCAAGCTGGGCTGGGTGTCGGGGGAGACAGGGCTCCTCAGGCAACGGCTCGTGAGAGAA